AAACTCTGGATTATGATAGAGGGCCATGAGACTTAGACCTGAGTGCAAAAATGGAGGCTCTAGACCCTTCCAGAGCTGAGATATGGAAACTCAAAATTTCGAACAGAAAAAAAAACGACAGTGTTACCCCTTACGTTTTTTTTGGGGGGGGGGCGAAAAATTAAGTATCCCCAATTTTCTCGAAACTCTGGATTATGATAGAGGGCCATGAGACTTAGACCTGAGTGCAAAAATGGAGGCTCTACACCCTTCCAGAGCTGAGATATGGAAACTCAAAATTTCGAACAGAAAAAAAAACGACGTTTTTTTTGGGGGGGTGAAAAATTAAGTATCCCCAATTTTCTCGAAACTCTGGATTATGATAGAGGGCCATGAGACTTAGACCTGAGTGCAAAAATGGAGGCTCTAGACCCTTCCAGAGCTGAGATATGGAAACTCAAAATTTCGAACAGAAAAAAAAACCACAGTGTTACCCCTTACGTTTTTTTGGGGGGGCGAAAAATTAAGTATCTCCAATCGTCTTGAAACTCTGGATTATGATAGAGGGCCATGAGACTTAGACCTGAGTGCAAAAATGGAGGCTCTAGACCCTTCCAGAGCTTAGATATGGAAACTCAAAATTTCGACCAGAAAAAAAAACGACAGTGTTACCCCTTATGTTTTTTTTTTTTTGGGCGAAAAATTAAGTATCCACAATCGTCTTGAAACTCTGGATTATGACAGAGGGCCATGAGACTTAGACCTGAGTGCAAAAATGGAGGCTCTAGACCCTTCCAGAGCTGAGATATGGAAACTCAAAATTTCGACCAGAAAAAAAAACGACAGTGTTACCCCTTACGTTTTTTTTTTTGGGCGAAAAATGAAGTATCCCCAATCTTCTTGAAACTCTGTATTATTATAGAGGGCCATGAGACTTAGACCTGAGTGCAAAAATGGAGGCTCTAGACCCTTCCAGAGCTGAGATATGGAAACTCAAAATTTCGACCAGAAAAAAAAACGACAGTGTTACCCTTACGTTTTTTTTGGGGGGGGGGGGCGAAAATTAAGTATCCCCAATTTTCTCGAAACTCTGGATTATGATAGAGGGCCATGAGACTTAGACCTGAGTGCAAAAATGGAGGCTCTAGACCCTTCCAGAGCTGAGATATGGAAATTCAAAATTTCGACCAGAAAAAAAAACGACAGTGTTACCCCTTACGTTTTTTTTTTGGGCGAAAAATTAAGTATCCCTAATCGTCTTGAAACTCTGGATTATGACAGAGGGCCATGAGACTTAGACCTGAGTGCAAAAATGGAGGCTCTAGACCCTTCCAGAGCTGAGATATGGAAACTCAAAATTTCGACCAGAAAAAAAAACGACAGTGTTACCCCTTACGTTTTTTTTTTGGGCGAAAAATTAAGTATCCCCAATTTTCTCGAAACTCTGGATTATGATAGAGGGCCATGAGACTTAGACCTGAGTGCAAAAATGGAGGCTCTAGACCCTTCCAGAGCTGAGATATGGAAACCTCAAAATTTCGACCAGAAAAAAAAACGACAGTGTTACCCCTTACGTTTTTTTTGGGGGGGCGAAAAATTAAGTATCCCCAATTTTCTCGAAACTCTGGATTATGATAGAGGGCCATGAGACTTAGACCTGAGTGCAAAAATGGAGGCTCTAGACCATTCCAGAGCTGAGATATGGAAACTCAAAATTTCGACCAGAAAAAAAAAACGACATTGTTACCCGTTACGTTTTTTTTTTTTGGGCGAAAAATTAAGTATCCCCAATCGTCTTGAAACTCTGGATTAAGACAGAGGGCCATGGGACTTAGACCTGAGTGCAAAAATGGAGGCTCTAGACCCTTCCAGAGCTGAGATATCGAAACTCAAAATTTCGACCAGAAAAAAAAACGACAGTGTTACCCCTTACGTTTTTTTTGGGGGGGGCGAAAAATTAAGTATCCCCAATTTTCTCGAAACTCTGGATTATGATAGAGGGCCATGAGACTTAGACCTTAGTGCAAAAATGGAGGCTCTAGACCCTTCCAGAGCTGAGATATGGAAACTCAAAATTTCGACCAGAAAAAAAACGACAGTGTTACCCCTTACGTTTTTTTTTTTTTGGGCGAAAAATTAAGTATCCCCAATTTTCTCGAAACTCTGGATTATGATAGAGGGCCATGAGACTTAGACCTGAGTGCAAAAATGGAGGCTCTAGACCCTTCCAGAGCTGAGATATGGAAACTCAAAATTTCGACCAGAAAAAAAAAACGACAGTGTTACCCCTTACGTTTTTTTTTTTTTGGGCGAAAAATTAAGTATCCCCAATCGTCTTGAAACTCTGGATTATGACAGAGGGCCATGAGACTTAGACCTGAGTGCAAAAATGGAGGCTCTAGACCCTTCCAGAGCTGAGATATGGAAACTCAAAATTTCGACCAGAAAAAAAAAAACGACAGTGTTACCCTTACGTTTTTTTTTTTTGGGCGAAAAAATTAAGTATCCCCAATCTTCTTTGAAAC